TATATATATATATGTATATATATATATATATGTATATATATATATATATATATATGTATATATATATATATATATATGTATATATATATGTATATATATATATATATATATATATGTAATGTGATATTGTTTTACTGACACTTTGTTTCTGGTATGTTGACCACAAAAAAAACCATACAAACATAATTTCCTGTGAGAAGTTAGATGTGTGAAAAGCATCGTCTGCACACTCATAGTGTGAAAAGGATGCATAGTTAGAGTGCAAGAATTTCCACCTACATAGCCATTATACCTGCTTACATGCTAATCATGTAAAATGACATTTGTTACATTTGAGGCTTTTATTATTGCTGCATTTCAGAAAATGGCAACTTTCTACAGCCCTACATCCTCACAAGGTGCTTTAAATTCATTACCTGGTTCAAATATTACCTGCACAAATTGTGCTTTGAGAATCTAACTTTCTTGTTGATGATTTACCGATATAGAAAAAAATACACATTTCAACATGTCAACAGATTTATTATTGCCACACACAAAAAAACAACAACAACAAAAAATCTAGAAAATGCAAAAGCCTAGTATCTCCCAAAAATGACATCTTTTCAGGAATAAAAAAAACAAATTGTCTTGCTTTTAAATTTTAACCAGCTAAGCATTGTCGCAAGTTCCATGCTCTTTTTGACACTTTTCACTTTATATCATATTAAGGATGTAAAGATAAAGCGCAGTAGAATCGACATTGACATGAAGCTAAAAAATTGTTAAATGATTATATGTTTTGCAATTTGGCAGTCAAGATTGCTTTGCACTCCTGTGCTCTCCAGAACATAGACAGTCTCACAGTCAGGGAGATTTTCTAACTGTTTACAATCTTTATCTTGACATTTCTTAGTTATATTGAACTTCTCATATGGAGGTATGAGCACCTCTTGCTCCTTGTCTTGAAGCACTGGATATTTTTTAAAAAAAGCCCCCGAACAGGTCGTTATTTTAAAGCATGTTTTCTCACCAAAATGTGTCAGATTTGTTAATTTTGAAGTGGAGGTAAAAGTTCCAAATCGAACCTCTTTGTTGACCTCGCCAGAAAACGTAGATTTGGTTCTCCGGTAGGTTTTGTGACAGTTTTCATTACCACTGAGGATTTGCACAGCCCTGGTCAGCCAGAAATGTAAGAAGTGGAACTGAAAGGAGGATCCGTAGTCTTTTCTTCCAGTTCTGACCGCTTTGTTAAATTTTACATATAAACCAGTAGCACCATCAGTGTAAATACAAATTGCTCTCAGGTGGTTCTCAGTTAATGCCTCATCTTCTTTGTCTTTTGATTGTAGGTTCCTTTTTGTACATTTTGTTGCACTATTCCACGCACGTTTAAACAGCCCATTGCTCATTTCCTTTTTAAAGTATGTTTCTTTTACTGTTTTTTCCATTTCCTCCTCGCAGGTGCTGTACATGTCATCAACTGAATCTTCAGACATGTTCAGTGGGAAGGGCTCCTTGTTTTGCAAACTGGAGATGTCATTGATCTACAAGGGGAGAAGGTAAAAAGTTGACAGAAACAGCCAGTAAACCATAAGTTAAACCATAAGCTATACTTTCAAAATGTTGTGGATGGTCTGAACTGTTTTAATGCAAAATCTTGACATGGAGTTAAAACAAACTTGCAGTAAATGGAAAAGAAGATGTTTGTTTCAAAGCAGAAACAAAATTGGATTCTAATATTTGCTACTGATGATCATATTGGACGTAATTATCAATAATGCCATGAATTTGGTGATTGTTGTCTCATTTTTTAAATGAGTTTTTCATCAGTCTCAGTGTGGACCTTTGTGTTTACTTCATCTCTTTTAACAGCTTTTTTTTTAAGCAGCATTTTTGTCACACCAAGGTTTCCATCTCAAGAGCTTTACCTCCCTAAATATTGAGTTATTTTATCCATAAAGTATTTTAGGTTGTTTGTTCATAATTGTATTGTGAAGGTTGCAGATGACATCGCTGTAGTTAGACTGATGTCCAACAGTTGTAAGTTCATGTATAGGATGGATGAAGAGGAGTCTGCTGATTGGTGTAATATAAATAACTGGAACATTAATGGGACAAAAACTAGAGATGGTAGTGGACATCAGAAGAACAGGTTACACCTCCTCTACCTTCATCATTGAAAGGAAAGCCGTGGAGCAGTTCAGGCTCTGGCCTCCAGATGTGGGATGACCTCACATGAGACACAAACATCAGGCTTACTGATGAGTGTATTTTATTAGGAGACAAGAACAACATCCTTAGTGTTGCTGTGCTGATGTCCTTTGACCAGTTTGTAGTGGAGTGTTTTGATATTTTCCATTTACGGTCTGGTATGAAATGTGCACTGAGTGCACTGCAGACTGATTAGATCAGCTCAGAAATGAACAACTGCAGCCTCCCTTCACTAACTTTACACCAGAAGATGCAAACAACCCATCTAACCCATGGACTTTCCCAGACCTGGTAATTAACAATTAATCTGATTCTGGTAATGTTTTCTAAAGTTTTGATTCCCAAAGTTGTTGTCAGGACTCAGGGTCTTGAGAAAATTGATGAAAATCAAATTAGCTTGATTATTTATCTTTAACCCTATTAATATGAACCGAGTTGGGTTTTTTTTTTTTAACTCAAATGACATAGTGGATCATAATGGATCATAGTGGATAATAGTGGATCAACCAGTTTGTTGTTGACAACTAAAACAAGCTGTTTAGTTGTCAACAACAAACTGGTTGATCCACTATGAGAAGGTACTATTTATAAGACTGAGTTTATTGCAGCTCCTCCGACTAAAGAAGTCTTTTGGATAAAAAAAGTTGGTTACGTACTGTAACCCCAGATTCTAAGAGTATAGGCGTAGCCCTTTAAGATCTGGGCCTCACTGGCTCTTAAATGGCTGAAGAAAAAGCTCTTTGGGAGCCGATTACCCGCTCTTAACGAAATTTATTTGACCGGGTGGGGCCCACACAACAGGTGGGCATGGACTAAAGTTTTCAGTGCTGCGCTTTGAGCGACGGGATGTAACCCACGAGCGACAGCCTTAAAGGGCGAAGCCTATACGAAACAGAACTAAATGTTTCAGCAGCGAATAATCCATCCAGAGGACCTGAATTAACCTTGTTAGATTCATCTACCTGGGTTATTGAGCATCCATCAGGAGATATAGATTTATGTATGTCATGAAAGATTTGGTTATATGCTTGCCTTGAAAATGCTGAAGTTTTATGTAAAATGTAAATGTCATTACCATGTTTAATATTTCCACGTACCTTCCTGAGGTCTACAGGAAGCATCGAAAGAAGTAAACACAGAAGAGACAAAGTCTGCCTGTTTGTCTTCATCTCTGCAGTTCTTCTAAAATGTTCGGAATTTGAAAACACAATAAAAAATGTTTATATGACTGACAATATGCAGATAATATACACAAAATGTATATAAATAACAAATAATTCATTTATCTTGGGATTCAAATAATAAAATGAAAATCTTACGATTTGTTTGGAAAAACTCAACTCGTTTCCTGGAGGATGAAGTCGTGTCAACCACTCGGATCACAAATTAAATGTAGACTCAGACTTATATAGCCACTTTCTGTTTGTACTTCCTTTTCACAGTTTGTCACCCCTCACCCAAAAAATAAAATAAAATACACTCCCACACTCAGTGGGAGTGTATTTTGAGGCAGTTGTTGATGACTCATTTCAAAAGAAACAGAATTTATTTCATACTTTAAGCAAACCACTGTCCAGCTGCACAATAGCAGCCTAATTTGATACCATGTAAAATAAATATATTTAAAATTGCAAAAAACTTAAACTAAAAAAACAAAATCCCTAAAACAAACTAACAAACAAAAAATTAACTACTTTAGAGTAAGTACTGTTTGTACCTGCAGGAGGTTCAGAGCTGTCAAGACATTTTAGTCAGTATCCAAAAGAAGTGATCGATGGCAGCTAGCAGGATTTAGCCTTAATGATTCTTTATGTTTATTATGTTTTCAAAAAACACAACAATTGTTTTTTATGAAATATGAAGGAAGTTATCTTTAAATACACCACAATCTAGAAACAAACTGTACATGTGGATAAAATTTACTAATACATTATATTCAGATTTTATGTAATTTGTTTAAAAATCCTGTAAAAATTGATGATGTCAAATTTTAAATAAATAAAATGCTATGTGCTGTCATCATTGTATGTTCCCATGCAAAGATGAAATTGACTCTCTGCATTTAACCCATCGCACCTGGGATACACCCAGGTGGAGCAGTGGGCAGCTATGTAAGCTCTCAGGGAGCAATTCAGGATTAGGTGTCCTGCACAGAAACACCACGAGATGTGCAATGACTGGGGATTGAACCTGAGTTGGCTGCCCTACCCCTACACCATCTCGGCTCCAAGACATAATATAAGGCATATTAGAGATTATATTTAAGAAGCTGCAGTAGCTGGGTGGTCAGTGCTGCAGTTGTACAATCCTGAAGCTGCAGGTTCAAGCCCAAGGTATATCTGGTGTAAACTAATTGCCAAATCCTTTGTGCAAAGTTGCTAACTAAGGTAACTTCTGCAAAACAGAGCAGCTAAAAGAAAACCATCATCAACAACAAAATATATAATTTTAGACAAGACAAATATCACACTGGAGCACATTTACAGGAAGAGACATTTCAGATTCTGGCTACGGTTCACAATAAGTGACAAGTCAACAAACACATTAGTCACCATATCCTGATGCATGCTCAATAATCCAGGTAGAAAAATCTAAAAAGTTCAATCCGGTCCTCTTGACATTAAAAAACAAACAAAACAAAAAAAAAACTAAGCAAAAAAATGTAGAAACGTTTCGTCTTTCATCCGAGAGACTTCCTCAGTCTGAGGTGCTGTATTCAGCTCAGTCTCTTAAATAGCACCTTTTCAGAGTGGATCAACCTACTTCACATATGGGGAGCAATATTATAGGCAGAAACATGGGTGTGCTATGGGGTCTCCAGTTTCTCCTATTGTTGCCAACCTGTACATGGAGGAGGTAGAAAAGAGAGCCTTGACGTCCTTTTCAGGGACACCACCAAGTCATTGGTTCAGGTATGTTGACGACACCTGGGTTAAAATTAAATCTCAGGAAGTCCAACATTTTACTGACCACATCAACTCTGTGGATAAATACATCAAGTTCACACGAGAAGATGAAAAAAAAAAAAGGCAGGTTGGCTTTCTTGGACTGTGAGGTCTCAGTCTCTGATAGAGGACATTTGCAAACCGAGGTGTACCGCAAACCCACCCACACAGACCAGTATTTGCAGTTTGACTCCCATCACCCTTTGGAGCACAAGTTAGGAGTCATCAGGACTCTGTATCACAGAGCAGACAGCGTCCCCACTAACTCAGGAGCCAGGCAGAAGGAAAAATCCCACACAAGACAGGCTCTAGAGCAATGTGGATATCCTAACTGGGCCTTCCTGAAACCAGAGAAGAAACCCAAACAGGACTCCAGTCAGCCAACAGGTGAAAAGGAGGAACCCAGACCAGTGGTCATTCCGTATGTTGTGGGAGTATCAGAGAAACTGAGACGTTTATTTTCTAAACACAACGTCCCAGTGGCTTTTAAACCCCAAAATACATTAAAGACTGGTTCATCCCAAAGATCCAGTCCCCCGGCACAAACAGTAATATTGTGTATGCTGTTCAGTGTCAGGAGGGTGATCAGTCTTACATCGGGGAAACTAAACAGCCTGTTAAAGACGGGAGCTGGCTGCGGGCCACCGGATCCATAAACCCCCTCCAGCCCACATCTTTATCCCCGGCTCGAACCTCCCTCAGATGTGGCAACTCATGCTAACAAATAAATCAAGGAAATGTCAATTAAGTTTTATAAATTATATAAAAAAAGGCAGAAAAAGACTACAAGTTACAGCGCTGGACTCTCCGGACTCTGACGCGTTCACAGACCTGGAAGAGCCTCGTTGTCCCATGTCATTACTAATTTATAGGGCCCTAAAGACTCCACCTTCACAGAAGGGGAGCTCAACCTGTCAGTGTATGAGGGGGCGTGGCTAAGTGTGATCTCAGGGATCTTATGTGGACTGACGTGTTAGGAAATATGAGACGGTGCTCCAAAGCCTTTCTACGTGATGTGGCAAGCAGATGAAACTCTATTCCGTGATATTGAATCATCAGGGAGACTCTCTTAAGAGTTTGCTGGCCCAGTTCAACCCAGTCAGAACCGGGTCATAATTTCATTATAATCCCGTCTCTGAGCAGATCAAAACCATAAGACCAGTCTAGATTAAAAATATCTTAACAAGCCACTGACCAAAAGGATGGACAAGCACAGAAGATCAACATCATTAGGCCAGGACTCTGCGGTCTACACTCATCTCCAGGCCAGAGGTCACTCTTTCAGGGATGAAGATGTTCACATCCTGGACAGAGAGGAACGATGGTTTGAGAGAGGAGTAAAGGAGGCAATCTTTGTGAAAAGAAATCGTCCATCATTAAACAGGGGTGGAGGCCTCCGGGTTCAGTTGTCCCCCTCTTACAATGCTGTGATTGCTAGTATCACTCAGCCCTCTGTGAACAGTAAACAGCCATCAGTGTGCTAATGATCCATTGTTAGGCTGATGGTCCTTCTTGACCATGTGAGCAGCTGGTTTTGGTTGTCAGCAGCAAACTGGTTGATCCACTCTGAGAAGGTGCTATTTAAGAGACTGAGCTGAATACAGCACCTCAGACTGAGGAAGTCTTTCGGATGAAAGATGAAATGTATCTACATTTTTTTGCTTTTTGTTTTTTGATTTTATTGAATGTCCAGAGGACCAGATTGAACTTTTTTAGACATTAGTCACCAATTCAGAATGTGAGATTTTGAAAACACCTGTGGTCTAAAAAAAAAGTTCAAGCCAAAATCAACTTGACTTTATTTGTAACAGAAGGCGTTTCACTTCTCATCCGAGAAGCTTTCTCAATTCAAAGAACAGAGTTTGTCACCCCCAACCCCTCAAAAAAAAAACCAACAAAAAAAAAAAAAAAACACCCACACACTCAGTGGGATCAGTATTTAAAACACACTTGGTCGTGTGGGTTCAGCGGCTGGTTTGTTATCTTGATGCTTCATTTCAAAGAAAACAGAATGTACTTCACACAAACCACATAGCTGCACAATAGCTGCCTAATTTGTCAGTGTAAAATAAATATATATAAATTGCAAAAAAAACCTGAAAAAAAATCCTCAAACAAACAAACAAAAAATAACTACTTTAGAGAACAAAGTCCATGCTCAATACTTTAGAGTAAGTACTGTTTGTACCTGCAGGAGGTTCAGAGCTGTCAAGACATTTTAGTCAGTATCCAAAAGAAGTGATCGATGGCAGCTAGCAGGATTTAGCCTTAATGATTCTTTATGTTTATTATGTTTTCAAAAAAACACAACAATTGTTTTTTATTAAATAGGAAGGAAGTTAATACACCACAAACTGTAGATGTGGCTAACTTTTACTAATATATTCTGTTTTTATGTAGTTTGTTTAAAAATCCTGTAAAATTGATCATGTCAAATTGTATTAGGTATATTAGAGATTATACTTAAGGAGCTGTAGTAGCTGGGTGGTCAGTACTTCGGTTTTATAATCCTGAAGTTTCAGGTTCGAGCCCAAGATAATAACTGCTGTAAACTAATTGCCAAATCCTTTGTGCAAAGTTGCTAACTATATTAACATCTGCAAAACAGAGCAGCTAAAAGAAAACCATCATCAACAACAAAATAGATCATTTTAGACAAGACAAATATCAAGCACTGGAGCACATTTACAGGAAGAGACATTTCAGATTCTGGCTACGGTTCACGGTTTTGTCAATGCTGCTGTCTCCAGACCTGTCTAACATACTGTAGCTGGTCTCACCACTGTCTTGTAAATTTTTCCTTTGACCATCCAGATATACACAAAGCACGAATGTTTGCTAACACGATAACACGATAACATGATAACATGATAACATGATTAAAATACGGCTACAAGTCATGGTATTAGCTTACTTACTGCCTTTATTTGATGTTATATGACCATAAACTTCTGTGATAAATCCACTATGCTCAATATTATTCCTTGGTATGCAATGAAATGTGTAGTAAAAAAAAAGATTGGAAAAGCACCAGAAGCCAAGGTTGCTTGTAGCTACTTAGCTTCTTCATACTTCAGCGCCGAAACTTCAGAAGATGCTGATTGGCTGGAATGAAAGTTTACCTGTGATTTCATTGGTTGAATTTTTTTTTTTTAACCTTTTTGTAAACTTCCGTTGTCGCTACACAAATCACGTGACACAGGTCTGTTTTGACTGGGGGTGTT